TTCCTAGTTCATAGGTGGAAGTCTTTTCTCTCTGTCCTCACACAGCCAAAGGGACAAAGGATTTCACACTTACGACCTGACCACCTCCTAGTGCCTGGTCCTCAGGGTTAGGATTTCAACACAGGAACTTAGAGAAGGGGCACAAATGTCCAGGCCATAGCAGATAACCTGGCAGATTCCTATAAATGTATATGACAGTTTGAAAGCATTGCCACAGAATGTTTCTGTGCAAGTTTTGTGATCTTAATCAAAAAATATATTAATGTTTTCCCACATGGCCAAAATGCCTGCAGTGTGTCCTCAGAGTGACTTCCGTTCCTTTCTGCTTTTAGTTTCTTCATCTTCCCCAAATGCTTCCACCCTGATATTTATCAATAACCACCCAGATGTCTGTATTTAAAAACTTTTTCTTATTACAAAAGTAATAGAGTGCAGAAAATTTGCGGTTTTGAAAGGCATAGAAGATAAAAATCATCTGTGCTTTTGTCACCTAGAAAAATTGACTGTTTAAAAAATGAAAATCTTTTGTGACCTGCTTTTTTTCTGCTGTAAGTATGCATTATCAACATTCACATTGTTAAATACTCTAATGCATCATGATTTATAACATCAGTTTAAGTGGGCCATAATTTGTTTAATTTATAATCTAGGTTGGGTATTTTTTCTTTCTAGTTTGTGCTATTAAAAATAACTATATAATGAAAATCTTGCTCAAATTTGCAAGCCTCTCTATTATGTCACAGGATAAATTTCTAGAAGAGCAATTGCCAGATCAAAAGGCATGGGCACTTTTATGGCTTAAACATGTGATTAGGTTGTCCTCCCTAACAATGGTTCTAGTTAACACAGTTGCAGGATGTGTGAGAGTGTGCTACTTTTCTTGCGCCTTTGCTCAGACTTAGTTGAGAAGGACACTTCAGAGAACCTTCCCCACCAATGCCCACTGGTTTTCTAATACCTTCAGTCGTATTATCTTCTTATGATACTCTATTGGGCTATTTTTTTAATTAACATTTTTTATTCTAATTTCTTACATATGACAGCAGAATACATTACAATTCATATTACACGTATAGTCTGTGGGGCTATTTTTAATTCTTAAATCAAAAAGTAGAAGTTGCATAAATTTATGGTATAGAACATGTTTATGTATGTGTACATTGAAAAGTGGCTAAGTCAAAATGGCAACATGAGCATTACCTCCATACTTTTGTGTGTGTGATGAAAACTCCCCAAATTTTCCAAGTACTATATTATTATTAACTATAGTCACCATGATGTATAATTGATCTCTTGAATTATTCCTCCTATCTACTGAAAGTTTTTTCTTTTGGCAACATCTCAGTACCCTCAGCCTTGGGTAATGACCATTTTGTTCTGTTTCTGTTTGATTTCACACTCCACATAAGAGTGAGATCATGTGGAATCAATATTTTTTATTATATTTGTTATAACTGGATATGTATTTATATGGTTTTTAAAATTTTCCCCATACTAAATTCTCCATGAGGACAGAGATCATATATAGCTTATTGACCCCTGAATATCCAACACAGTACAGAGGGAAGAGCATATACTATATGCTCAGTATCTTTTTGGTAAATGAGTAAATGAATGTTGAAATTTCTTCTCTGATTTGACAGGTAAATATCTTACTGCTAATGAGTATTTGAGGTTGAACTTTGTTTTTATTGGTTATTTAGTGTTTTTTGTTAATTGCCTATTTATGTCTTTGTTTATTTTTCTGAGAAAATGTCTATTCAAGCTCTTTCTGGCTCTATAGGCTCCTATTCTGAATATGGCATATTTTCTTTGTAGCTTTCCAATTTTATTTTCTAAAATATTTTGTTTACTTGATTTATTTCCTATTTCTTGTGTTTGATCTGTAAGCACCTGAGTCCAAAAGCATTGTTGACGTCCGGTCCACCTTTGATTTTCCTCATGTGGGTTTACCTCCCTGTCTTAATTTTTTTTGCACATCACAACTTCCCTCTATTTACCTGGACTTTCAAACAGCTCTCCCATCCCATTCAGTTTAGTCAGCTTATTAACTTGTCTAGTTTGAATGTTTTTTCCTTACCTTTTTGAAATGCATTGTTTCTAGCTAAGAGCCCATAATTTTGTTATCTTCAAACTATGTTGGGCAAATATTTTCTCTGAAGGGCAACATAGTAGCTACTTGACTTGTGAGATGAATGGTATGTGTTGTAACAGCTTAACTCTCCTTGCAGCAGCCATAACAATAAATAAATAAGTGTGGCTGTGTTCCAACAAAACTGGGGATACTGAAATTTGAATATCATAATTTTCATGTGTCACAAAATATTCTGCTTTTGACTCCTCTGTGACCATTTTAAAATGTCAAAACTATTCTTCACACGTGGACCATACAAAAACCAATGGCAGGCCAGGTTTAACCAGGGAGCCAGGTTTGCTGACTGTCATAGGCTGTTTCAGAGAGATAGATCAAGTCATCACCATCCAGCCATTTACTTACCAGTTTTCTGTATTTCAAAATCCCTTAGTTTCTGTAACACTTGAGGCTCCAGGCTATTTTTCTGATCTTGTTATCCATCCCTGGCTAATCAACAATTCTTACTGCTCCATCATCTTTCCTGTTTCTGTGGATTTCACCTCTTGTAATATCCTTTTTCTATTCCCACTCTCCCTACACTCTAGTTAAAACTCTTGCCTAGCATTCTAGCTTCAGTAGTCAACTGGTTGTCCATCACCCTTCCAATCTAATTGCCAAATTATGGTTCTGATCATCTCTCTCCCTTGCGAAAAATCTAGCATCATATATCCAAGAAAAACTGCTTAGTTTGGCATTTAAGGTGTTCAATCTACCCTCCCAGCTATCTCTTCTACAATTTTCCCAATGCCTTCAGGCAACTATTTTTCTTTGTGAAGTTTCTTCTACTTTCAGTGCCTTCTTCACAATCTCTGCAAAAATTGCCCATCCTTCAAAGCACTTCTAAAAATGAAACATGCTGAGTACTTGTAATTTAATGTGATGGATTCTTTTTTTGCCGGGTGGGGAGTACTAGCAACTGAACCCAGGGATACTTTACCACTGAGTCACATCCTCAGCCTTTTTTATTTTGAAACGGGGTCTTACTAAATTACCAAGGCTGGCCTTGAACTTGAATTGTAACAGCTTAACTCTGTCCTGCCTCTGGCTCCTGAGTCACTGGAATTATAAGCATGCATCTTTGTACTGGCGGGATTCTCTTTATTAGCACTTAGAGTCAATTTTAGGTTGTAGCTGTTTATACATTCATTAATTTCCCTCTTAATTGTAATTGCCTCAAGAGGAATGATGTTGTCAAAGGTGACCTTCTTTGTTCCCTGAAACACCTAGCACAGTGATAATTTAATAAGTTGTTATGGTAAGAACATGTTGGGATATGATAAAAGAACAATAAGGAATGTAAACAAAATAGTTTAACCGACATGGAAATGCCCAAGAAAATATTAAACTAGGGAAAAACTTAAATCTTAGAAACTAAATAGGAAGCCATCAAGCTGCCAAAATGTTGAGGGATTTCTGCTAAATGTGGTGCTATTGAAGGATGGGCAGGTTCTTGCAGAGATGAAGAAACTGCCCATCCTTCAATAGCAGTTGAGATGGAGAAGTTGCAGTGATATTGGATGAAAAGAGGAGTGAATAATGAAGAGTGAATTCTGCCAAGGGGAGCCCTGCCATACCAAAGGATCAGGATAGGGTCATATTGAACTCCTTCTGTGCAAAGCCATGATTAGCACTCTCCATACCTCACCTTCTAGTTTTCATATCAACATATGAGAGATGGAAGTTATCTTCATTTTTCAGATAAAGAAATAGGTTTCTTGGGCTGGGGCTGGGGCTCAGCAGTGGTGCACTTGCCTGACATGTGTGAGGCACTGAGTTCAATTCTCAGCACCACTTTTAAATAAAATAAAAGTGTATCAACTAAAAAAATATATTTAAAAAAAAAGAAATAGGTTTCTTCACACAGGTTTTAAATAATGACAGGCCAAGTAAAAGATGACCCCCCAAAAAAAAGTTTAGAAGGAAAAAATATTATAGTGATTGTATCTTGGTGCTAGGAGTTTGTGTAATACGTATTTTTCTTTATAACTTCACAGCTTCTCTAATTTAGTTGTCAACTGTAATGACCTGAATGCACATGACTTCATGATCTCTCTCACTTCATTGCTTTGTTCACTAGACATGGACCTTGTGCATGTGCTGCAGTCTGTTCTCTGGTCGCCTACTCCTTAACTGCTACCATGCATCAGATTTTTACTTTATTGGGCCTTTCTGTGCCAGTGGCTTCATTTGTTGTACTAAAATACTTAGACTCCTGCTATTTTAACTTGGGCCTCTCCTATCTACTTCCAATCTGAGTTTAGATTTTCATTTGTTATTTCCTTAACTTTATTCTGTTGGTTTTTTTTTCCCCTCCTACTTTCTCAAATGTCTGATCTCCCTCCTATTTCCTTCTATCTTTAGGAGGGCCCTTGCTTTTGACTCTCAGAATACTACAGCTATCAGAGTTACCCTCTGCCTTCTAGCCTCACATACAGAGTCTTTCTGTGCCACTGCTTTTCATCCTTCGCTTCTGTTGCCACAAAATAGCTTTTCCTTCCTACTCTTTAGGGCTAGTGTCCCACCTGTGACTCACTCATTCTGTGTCTCCTGGTATTAGGCATTCACAGTCACTAAGTATGTCTTTCATAAACATTTAGTATTTTTATAAATAGAAAATTAGTGGCAAAAATCCCTCTGAGTCTGTTATAGAGAATGTTATAGTGGAGAATTCCTCATGTCTAGTTTTTGAAAATTTTACCTGCATATTTACGTGGTATGAAAAGTCACAGTGCTACTTCTTAAGAACAGTGTTTTATCCATTTGGTTGAAGGACATTTCCTTTTATAGATATTTCCTTTTTATGCTGTTTTAGATTTATCTTTGACTTTATGTCACAGGCTGTGACTTGACTTTTTTTGCCCCATAGTTGGAGAACACGTTCAAATCAGTCATTGCACAAATTGGACCTGGAGGGACCATCAATCCAGAACTAAAACATAAGATAAAATTTGTAAGTATTTTCGTTTTATTGGAAGCAAGAATAATTGTTTATAAATTCAGATATCATTTGTGGTTGAGTTTAATTTGCTTGTACTTACACCTGATACCTGATATTTTCTAATATATTACAAATAGAATAGCTATTCTTTTAAAATAAAAAAATACATAAAGTACACACTATATAAAATTTCAGTGTAAAACTATTTAGGAAATATAAGTTCTTCCTTCACTTCCTCCCCTCACCCTAATAATTCTAGTTTTAAATAAATGTTCATCAAATACTATTCCATATATGTGTGGTATCTCATTATGTTTATCATGTTTCATTTATGAGATCTATGATTAATTAAATTTGGGTTATTTAAAAATGCTGTAGTAAATGTCCTTGAACATTTATCCAGTAGTGGTTGCCAATCAAAAGCATTGGCTATTTATGTTTTGCTAATAACTGTTACTACATTGCCCTCTGAAAGATTTGACTGAACAAATTTACTCTTCCACTGACAGTGAAGTGTTACTCTCCAGTCATGTTGTTTTAATTTATAACTGATTTTTATCCTGAGTGTCTTTAATATGCTTATAGTCATATTTTTAAAAATGTGAACTGGCTATTCATGTCTTTGGCCTAATCTGTTGTTTTCCCTTATTAAAATATGAAAACTCTTTGTTTTTATGCATTGGGCCAAAGGGTGAACACATTTAAGATGTTGTGGGAGCTATTGATTCCGATTTGAATGATCAGGTGCCATCGTGGCTCTTACTGCCTTATACTGTCCCATTGCAGGGGTTATGACTTTACTGGGAGAAATGCAAAATCCCTGGTACATTCAGGCTGTGTTTTGATTTTTGTTTTTGAAACTCGAATACCTAATAATAATTTGTTATAGGATATTAAATATGACTTTTATGGTACCAAAAAATTAGAGAAAAGGTAGTATTCATTGATAAAGGGTTGGTTAAATTATCCACATAGAGTAAGGAATATGATGTGACTTGTAAGAAAGCTTATGTACAGCTCTCTTAGCAAACATTGAATTATCTCCTTCACATGTTGAACTTTAAAACCAGGTTTTATAGAATACCATGTTCAGTATTCTCCTCTCGGAGTGAGTGATGTGGGTATACACACACACACACACACACACACACACACAAGTTTCATATGCATGCTTTCTGAAGTACATCATGGCTGTCTCTGGGATTTTTGAAAAAAAAATTTAATTTTTTTTTAGCTGTAGCTGTATATGATACCTTTATTTTATTTATTTGTATGTGGTGCTGAGAATCAAGCCCAGTGCCACACACATGCTAGGTGATTGCTTTACTACCGAGCCACAACCCCAGCCCCTTGAAATTTTTACTTTTTCCTGAAACTTGAATTAGAATTTTGTATTAAATATAATCAATTAAAAACTTTTGTGCTATATTGGAGATAGAACCAGTCATTTCTAGGGATTTATCTAAAAAAATCATTGGACAAATGTGCATAATGAAAATATGAGGTTAACAATTGCAGTATTTGTGATAATGAAAAATAAATGACTATAAAAAGGATACATTTAGGTACCTTGAATGTGAAACTATAGGGTTGTGAGGTTCTTACGTTTTATGTGACATAGTATGGATACATTTAGGTACTTTGAATATTTTGAAAAACTTGTATCTTGTTTATCCATGTTTACTGGTTAGAACAATGATTATGCAAACTTTAACCTATTTTTATATGAACATAAATGTTTTATGTGGATATGGGCAATAATGGATTTTTTAAAAAAAGTTTTTTTAAAACATACTGTTTTAGTTGTTGATGGACCTTTATTTTATTTATTTATTTATTTATAGTGGTGCTGAGACTCAAACCCAGTGCCTCTCGCATGCTAGGCAAGTGCTCTTTCACTGAGCCACAACTCCAGCCAATGGCTATTTATTTTATCTTTGCTTAACTGTATTTTCTGAAATTTTCTATAGCATCCATTTGCATTTTTTATAATTAAAATGTTTGACTATTAATGCACAATATTAATTGTATGTGAGCTGAAAGCAAATATATTAGCCGGGCTAAAGAAACACAGGACTTTATGGGAGTTGTGGCATTGTAGGATTATGTAATAGTGATTTCTCAACTCTGGAAATATTAGGAATCACTTTTATATGTTTTAAAATCATAAAACTGATTTTTTTAAATAAAAGCAATATATGATATATTTGAATCATAATGTTATTTTTGCCTTTGTTACTATTTATACTATCTTATTTTAAACATTTGGTCTCCTAGTACTTCAATTCTATGTTGTATTTCATTTTCTTTTTATTAGGTTGTATCTAAGTTTCCAGAGGGTTTGTTAATTTCTAAACTTCTTGGGGAGTTTGAGGTAAGTGTTCTTTTTTACTGTGATTTACATTTCTTGTGATAGAAATTTTGTTGCTATTCCTTGGATCCCTCAAGTCTATACCCTTAACACTTAAATACTGTTTTGCATTTTAGTGTCTTTTTCTTCATTACAAGAGTTAAGGATATTTACTTGATTATGCATAAGAGGGCTCTTTTTACAACTTGGTGATAACATCTTTGGAATGAAAATTGATTTATTTTTGTCTAATAATACCAAGTGTCAATTGGGAATATGGAAAAATAATCTCATTACACATTTTTGATTTTTTATATCTAGTGAGATTAAGAATGAAGGGTAAAATAAAGGCATATTCAGATAATCAAATAGATAATTGTAAACACACCTGCACTATAAAGAGATGCTAAAGAATGTACCTCAGGCTGAAGAAAATGATGCCAGATTGGAACTTGAATCTCCAGGAAGAGCTGTAGAATAAAGGATATATGGTATATCTAAAAATCTTTCTTTCACCAATTAAAATATGACTATTATTACAAAGATGATAGTATATAATTGGTTTTAACTTAAAGATGTATCGTGCTACAGCACAATGAATCAGGGCAGAATGTGAAACTATAAGGTTGTGAGGTTCTTATGTTTTTTGTGAGGTGATACAATAAGGCTGAGAAGTTAAAGATGTGTGCTATAATACCTAGAACAATAATTAAAATGCAGTTACAGCATAAATTTAATAGACGCTTTAAAATGCAATTGTATAAAAACATATTGTAAATGCAAACAAAGACTGGGAAGGAGGGAACAGGCAATAGATATACCATTGGAATCAACAGAAATTTTTTTTTTAATTTTTTTTTTTTATTAGCTACACATGACATTACAGTGATCTTGGCAATTCATACATTTGAATCATTGGGGTATAATTTCTCATTTTTCTAATTGTACAGTGGAATCAACAGAAATTAATAGTGGTAATTTTAAATCTAGTTATAGTAATTTCATAAGTGTAAATGGACTACTATTAAAATTTGGAAATGAGACTGTGGAAAGCAAGATGCAACTATGTTATCTACAGGGAACACATCATAAATGTGAGGATAGATTGGTTCAAAATAAAAAATAAGAAAGATATACAAGAAATATAAAAAAAACTGAAGGGACTAAAACAACTTCAGATAATACATTGGGCTTGAAGCCTGCTTTATCAGCGATTGGCACATTCCATCAGGGCTAAGGGCCAGTTCTTCAGGAAGACAATCATAAATGTGAATTCACCTAATAAATAGTATAAACATTCTCTGAAGTTTGACAGGATTAAGAATTCTATAAATCTAGTTGGAGATCTTAATACTGTCTTCTCAAATGGCTAAAAAAAGAGCATTCTGTATCTTGTATATATATTGAAGCTAATTGAATGGTAAACGTAAGTTTACCATTTCAATATGAATTTTATAAAAAGTTAAAAGATTTTGAATTCTAGATAATAATGTACATGCTGACATTTTTTGGGGAAAACATTGATGTGTCTGAGGTTACTTTGAAATATATAAAAAATGAATTGATGGATGGATTTATTGATGATAAAACAAAATAATGCTGATAATTCTATAATTTGGGTGATAGAGTTCTGTCCAATTCTTTAACCTTTTTCTGTTTTAAATTTTTATAAGAAAAATGTTATTAAAAGAACAAGAAAAGATAAAAAAGAATTTAAGAAAAAGTAACAGGTATTAAACATAGGCAAAATAAAGTTAACATATGAATAATAATGCCAAAGAAAAGAATAACAAAAAATTCAAATAAACTTTACTGAAATGAAATATTTGAAACTATTATTGAAAGAGTGCACTAGCAGCTGGGGTTGTAGCTCAGTGGCAGAGTGCTTGCTTGGCATGTGTGAGGCACTGGGTTCGATCCTCAGCACCACATAAAAGTAAAAAAAAAATAAAGGTATTGTGTCCATCTACAACTAAAAGATAAAAAAAAAATTGTACTGCATGCTTAAATCATTAACCTAGAATAACCAACACCAAATTAGTAGATTTCAAAGAAAAAGGAAGAAATTCCTTTGACCATTTAAAACAAAAAGAGCAAGTGACTTGTAAGGAAATAAAATTAGATCATTAGACATTTTTATATCTTGTTTTGCCAGAGGAAAGTAACATATTTCAAATATTCAAGGAAAGAAAATGTGAGCCAAGAATTTTATGCTAGCAAAACTGACTCAACTGTAGAGGCAGACTGCAACCATGCAAGAATTCAAGAACTGTTGTTCCCTTGAACCATTCTGAAGACATCTTCTACAGAGTCATCAATGTCATATTAATAAAAGGACTGACATTTAATGCCACTTCCACAACCAAAACCAAATGAAGTTAGGAGAAAATATAAAATGGCTGTATACTCTTGTGAATACATACACAAAATTAAATGGAGAAGAAGGGTTGAATATATGCCAAAGTTGAATTTTTATTATATTATGGTAATCTTATTCTAAAACCATTGTTATATGATGGGTACAAGGCAAATTAATTGTGAGATTAATAAAACACTAGTATATACAAGTGTTTTCTAATTGCATAAATCAAGACTGGAACATTTTGTCATAGCAGACCAACAAGGAAACTGCTAAGAAAAGGGTCATATTGGGCTGGGGATGTGGCTCAAGCGGTAGCGTGCTTGCCTGGCATGCGTGCGGCCCGGGTTCGATCCTCAGCACCACATACAAAACAAAGATGTTGTATCCGCCGATAACTAAAAAATAAATATTAAAATTCTCTCTCTCTCCTCTCTCTCTCTTTAAAAAAAAAAAAAAAAAAAAAAAAAAAAAAAAAAAAGAAAAGGGTCATATCAAAAGGGCTTACAAATCCACTTGAAGAGTTATTTTAGGCTTTAGTAGGATAATAATAGCAATGACTTAAAGCAATGACCAAATATATTTAATTCCATGAGTTTATATGATATTAAAAACAATTGGTTAACATAGAAGACGATAGAGAACCTTTTGAAAAATGATAAATTTAATCACTTATCCTGATTTTTCTAAGAGAATTGTATGACTGAGTAACCAATAAAAAATGAGGGGAAGAATATCCTTATAAAAATTTTCCAATTAAATAATGAAAACTAATTGATAGAATAACTCTATTAAAGCCCTATATAAAATAATGGATCTAGGTACTGACCAGTGATGGTCCCTAAGAACACCAAAAAGACTATTGGACATTGTGTGCCTTTTTAGAACACACAGGCTCATTTACAGTCTTGTCAAAGAGATCAGTCATGAATTTTATCCAGTTGCCAATGAAGGAAACGATATATTCCACTATGAGCTTGTCATCTGAAAAATCCAGTTGGGAAACTAAATCATGTAATAGGATATATACATAGCTTTTGACAGTACAAGTATAAACTCTAAGGAAAAATAATAAGAGTAAAGTTGAATGGGGGATGGAAGGGAATTAAGGAAAATGGAAGTAGAAATATATCAAGTCTATAGTTGTCCATAGTTGGGAGTCAGTAAAGCAGAAAGCATAACAAAGGAGAAAGCATAACAAAGGAATTAGGACAAAATATATTTGACACATCAATGCATTGACTCAGGTATCCTATCAAAAGAAAATGATTCTCAGGCTCATAAAACAAAACTCTACTGTTTCATGTACTAATAGGAAACTAATATCTCTATTTAACAGCAAAAGGCAAGATTCGTATGATGTATATAATCTTAAAGCATATTTAAGTTTTCACAATTTCTGGAAATTTGCATGTAATGATAGTTACCTCCAGGAGATGATTGCTAGGTGACTGAAGAATTGGGGGTGAGCTGGAGACTGTTCTGCTATATAACCTTCTTGAACCTTTTGAATGTTACCTATTCAAAAAGTTAGTAACATTTTTAAAAAATCCTTTCAACCTAGTCTTACGTTCAATTGAATTGTATTTCTATAGTCCTAGACACTTATAAGAAGGGTAAAAAAAACTATTAAAGACTAATGAACATAAAAGGAAAAGAAGCCTTAAGATATAATGTACAGGGCTGGGGTTGTAGCTCAGTGGTAGAGTGCTCGCCTAGCACGTATGAGGCACTGGGTTCAAACTTCAGCACCACATAAAAATAAACAAAATAAAGATATTGTGTCCATCTACAACTAAAAAAATATATAAAAAACATATAATGTACAAAGAAGTAAGTAGAGATATTAACTCTACTTTGCCATCACTCCTGCCCTATCTATTCTCTACCAATTCTTTTTCCTTTGGGATGCTCATGGGTGGCTATAAATGTGATATTAATGACCCTTGTTCTATTGCTCTATCATGGTTCAAGAGATAAAAGTTGAATTAAGAATTTGATCATTTTAATGGTGGGTCTTTTTTTTTTTAATTGTGCAGCTTTTATTTGAAATCTTCATATCCTTTCAAGTGGGGTTGTATCAATACAGAGCATTCAAACAGTTTTAACTGTTAATGAGCTGAGTAACAACTCAGCTCTCCATTACCATAGTGAAAGACCTAAGATAATTGAAACAGAAAAGGCTAAGATTGGTTCATAATTTGGAGGCTCTATTCATGCCTGATTTCTTTGGGCCTGTGGCAAGGCAGCACTTCATAGCAGGAAAATGTAGAACATGTAGCAGAGCAAAATCACTCATGTTATTCAGGGAACAAAAGGAGTGAGGAGGGGTCCAGGCTCCCACCATCGTCAAGAGCACACCCAGTGACCTAAAGACCTCTCACTGGGCCCCACATCTTAAAGTTTCCATCATATCCCTGCAGTATTACCTTGAGTCTACACCTTTTAACACAGAGGCCTTTGGGGAACATTCAACATTCAAAATATAGCAGACTGAATCATTCAATCTATTTAATATCTACAGACTTATTTAAATTTGTTTTAATTAGGTCTATATGACAGCAGAATGCATTTTGATTCAAGGTACACAATTGTAGTACAACTTTTCATTTCTCTGGTTGTACACGATCTAGCGTTGCACCATATGTGCACTCATGCATATACCTAGGGTAATGATGTAAGTCTCATTCCACCATCTTTCCTGCCCCTATGTTCCCACCCCACCTGTCCCTCCTTTGCCCAATCAAAGTTCCTCCATTTTTCCCATACCCTCCTCCCCTTATGAATCAGCATCCACTTATCAGAACATTTAGCCTTTGGTTTTGGGGGATTGGTTTACTTGGCTTAGCATGATATTCTCCAACTCCATCCATTTATATGAAAATGCCATAATAATTTTTTTCTCTTCTAATGCTGAGTGATATTCCATTGTGTATATATCACAGTTTCTTTATCCATTATTTATAAATGGTGAATCTTTTGACAAGGGAAAATGTACCTGTTCTCCGTGCAGTTTTAACCCAAACTAGTGTGGTACCCTATATTTTCTCTCCCATCTTTATTTGGTATGAATTGTCTTCTTTACCAAGGCAATAAAATCAAATTGTACACAACAGGAAATACACTCATAAGAAACCTGCTTATTTTGCCCAACTTCTAAGGTGAAATAATAAAATTTAAGGAAATATTTTAAATAGTAATGCCAATTCTGCATGTTGAAAATGGTCAAGGATATTCTTTCTCTGAAAAATATAGAAATAAGGATAGGCTTATTATGAGTTTTGTAGTTTATACATTCTTCACTCCCAAATACCTTTGCTTTATAATCAAATATTGTTAAAAATGAGAGGTGAAAAGTTCCCCTCACTTTCACTTCAATTTATCATATACTCTCAAGGGAGCTTGACATTGGCCTAGAAGTTTATGGTAAGGGATTATTAGCCTCTTTTGTAAAATGCTTGGGTGGAAACACAGCTTTACACCCAAGTTCACTGAACCTTAAAATTTTAGCTTAGCTAAATTCAAATTAAAGCATTGTCCAAGAGTATCTGTACATATTTTATTTCTGCTATCTAATGTTTTTCATAATTTCCATTTATTTTTGTGACAGGCAGTTTTTAAAGAGCAACTTTCACCCAAAAAATTGGGATTTTTAAATGTGACAGAACTTGTTGGAGCTCTTAGTGACATTCTTCGTGTTGAGTTCAGGGAAGGAGAACAAGACTTGCTAGTGTTTGATGCTGATATGAGGCCGGTACTAACAGGTAAGTTGTCCCACAGTGTAATGCAAACCTCATTTTTAATTGTTTTTGTAAGTACAGGAGAAAAGAAAATATTGGCTAGGTAAGAGTCATCTTTATAACTACGTCAGACAAACATATTATGTATTAGCATTGAAATGTTTTATGTGTAACGATCTTTTTTCTGGTGGTATTTATTGTAATAAAGTTAACTGTATTATTAATTTTAAAAATTGAATTTTTTTTTCTTGATGGAGATTGACTTGAAGAGCATTCTGCCTCAGAGCTACATACCTAGTCCTTTTATTTTGAGGCAGGGTCTTGCTAAGTTGCCCAGGTGGGCCTCAAATTTATGATCCTTCTGCCTCAGCCTCTGAATTTTTAAAATTAATTCATTGTGCCAGACACAGTGGCACTTGCCTATAATCCCAGCAACCCAGGAAGCTAAGATAGGAAGATTACAAGTTCAAGGCCAGCCTCAGCAATTTAGCAAGGTTTGAAGCAATATAGAGAGGTCCTGTCCCAGGATAAAAAATAAAAAGTGATGGGAATATAGCTCAGTGGTTAACTATCCCTGAGTTCAATCCCCAATACCATAAATAAATAAATGAATTTTTTAATAATCCTGAAGAGAATTTTCTGATTAAATGGTCTGATAGTTCAGTGGTTAACTTTGGCTATATATCAAAAGCATTTTAGAAAGATGTGGAGATTCAGAATAAATGGGTATGCATTCATAACCCCTCTTGCATTTTTAAATAACTATTTGGGGATAATTTTAGGCTTATGGAAAAATTGCAAAGGTAGTACCAAGTTCCCATATTCTTTTCATACATTTCCCCCTAATATTATTATCTTTAATATTACTGTAATTTATTTGTCAGAGCTAAGACATTAACATTGGCACATTGTTACTAACTAAACTCCAGATTCTATTACCAATTTTTCAAAAAATGTTTTTCTGTTTCTGTATCTACTCCAGAATATCACATTGCATGTAGGGCACTTGAGTTTTGTTTTTCTTTTTGGCTTAGGCTTTAAAAAAACTTTATTGAGATAACTGTTGATTCACATGCAATTATAAGACAATTCAAAAGGATCCTATGCATTCTATACTCAGTTTCCCCAATGGTAACATTTCACAAAACTTATAGAACAGTAGGATACTTAGATTTTTATAAGCTTCTACAAATGCTTATGATGGACAGCTACATTCCCAAAATATAAATATCTTTATTGGATTTGTGATTTATTAAAAAAACTCATGTTCATTTAAAAATATTCAAAGAGCACTAACAATAAAAAGAAGGTGAACACTTATTATTTTATGAATATCCTAGAAATAAAGCTGTGAGGATTTTTACATAATCTTCCAGATTTGTTTCAATATGTGTTTAAGCATAGCTAGATTTTTTTTAATCCACAAAAGTTTATTTAAACCATTCTAACAATACAGAGGTAACTAATGTTAATAGTTTTAGTGTGTGTGTTTCTGGACCTTTTTTAAAAATGTCTTCAGTTGTTGATGGACCTTTATTTTATTCATTTGTTTATATGTGGTGCGGAGAATCAAACCCAGTGCATGCTAGGAAAGTGCTCTGCCACTGAGCCACAACCCTAGCCCTCTGGACCTTTCCTTTATAATACAAATTATCATGTATATAATTTTTATTTCACAAAGCAGTATTATATAAATATTGTATAAATCATTTTTATACTTCAATTATTGTGTATGTTTTCCATATTATTTATGTACAAGTTGATTTTTGAGTACATATAATTCTTTTACATAACTATAATTTATTGAACCAGTCTCCTATTGATGGACATTTAGATTGTTCCCATTTTTACCATTATAAGAAATATAGTAGTAAAAACTCTTATTTTTTTATTTCTTATGGTGCTAGAGATTGAACCCAGGACCTCATACATGCTGGCAAGTGCTCTACCACTGAGCTTCCTCCTCAGCCCCATGATACATATTTTTGTACCCACATCTTTCTGTACTTTCTGTTTATTTCTTTCGGAACCACTGTGGTTGTAGGTCTATCTTTCTGGAGTCTCTTTTAATGTGCCAATCACTTGTAATCATCATATATATGTAAATTAAACAAAACATGTGATCAACTTGAGGATGCCTAAGAACTAAAGAATCATATGGAATATTAAGTAGCCATGTACATTATAAACGACGATGAATGTTTGAGCTTAATTAGAACAAGAAATAAATTGAAATCAGGATATTGAAAAATAAAGCCATTCACCAAACTTTAAGAAGCATTGCCATTCTACATACTCCCCTTGCCCCAACACACATACACACACACACACACACACACAATGGGGATTCATTCTCATCTAGAAATTCTCTTATATCTTGCCACATGGAAAGGTCTACAAGGACAGGTTAGTATTTCTCATTTATCACTATATCCTTAGTACCTGGCACATAGGAGATGCTTATTAACAATTGTACCATTATTGTAGCAAATATGCACAGGCTGTTCTGTTGGCCATTTCAGATGGAGCTGTTTCAACAGTCAGAAATTTATGTTTAGTTCAACCAGATAAGAAAATGGAAGCCAAGGCTTGTATCTCCAGTCCCCCTAGAAATTCACTGTCTACTGCTGCTGTCAAGGAGACTGCATGGGATTGCCCTTTGAAGAACCATAAAGAACCAGAACAGAAGATATATAAGAAGCCTAATCTGGTTGTAAAGCCTTTACAGCTGGTGAGTGAGGTTTAAAGAACCTGCACAATGTAGATTCAGCATTATGAAAAGTAACCAAATGAAACCAGAATTACTTTTAGAAAAATCTTGTCTCTATATACCTCATTTATTGAAAAGATTAGTTCTTTCATCCAAAGTCACCTTATATAGTATCTTTTCAGTAATTTATGTAACCAGTTTTCCCTCAGTTTTCAGATGGTTTTGAGATTGGATAGTCCTTATATGATGATGGTACTGTCTCAGTCTCCCTGTGTTTGGAAATGTGGGCTGAAAAATCCTCAGGGGCTTCCGAGGGGACCACAGAGGAGCTATTGACTGAATGCCTCAACAGCTGCTGCAAATCTCCTTTGCACTCGACCTCAGTTATTGGGTCCTCACCATTCTGTCATCATTACATCTTTTTTTTTTTTTTTTTTTTTTTTTCTGAGAGGGGGGGGGGAGAGAGAGAATTTCAGTATTTATTTTTTTTAGTTTTCGGCGGAAGGAACATCTTTGTTTGTATGTGGTGCTGAGAGGATCGAACTCGGGCCGCACGATGCCAGGCAAGCGCGCTACCGCTTGAGCCACATCCCCAGCCCCCTATCATTACATCTTAACACAAAATTCTTTCTGTGTTTTCTTCTCCTATTCCTTATGTTATTACTAAGGGATTAGTCATATGTTACTCTTCATTGTACCCTCAGTATCTGGCTCCTTTCATGGGATGACAAAAATTTGAGAGCCTGCTATATTGTTCTGGAGGACAATAAAAAGGCTTACAGGAATATATATTTTAGAAGACAAAACGATATATTTTAGAAATGTTTGCACAATCCTATTTTTGATTGGAAGACTAGTCTGAAATTTAATCTAGACTTAGTTACCTTTCCCTATTGGTAGGGTTGAGTAGAATGAGAATTCACTTTAGTTCAGCCTGAATATTTGAAATATCATGTTGTCAAATTTTAATAAGGCATTTGCATAACACGTCTTAACTCTTTTCCTAATATCAGAAGGTAATATATTCATATTTTAACATAAGAATCACCTGTGGAATTTTTTAATATGCATGGTTTCATTCTCATGTATTCTGAATCAGTAAATCTAGCCTGAGCCCATGAATATGAATTTTTATAATTTCCCAAGTGATTCTGAAAAAGGCAACTAATGAAGTATACTTTGAGAAATGTCAGGGTTTGAAATGTCACCCAAAGATTTATTATGGTTTCTTTGATTTCTTTCTTTTAACTTGTAGCAAGTAGGAATAAGTAAATCACAGCTCAGCTTGGCAATGGCAAATCATGATATCCCACCAGATGCTGTACAGGAGAAGAAATTATGCAGACTTCCACCATTAGATACCAGTACCCTTGTGGGGGTCTTTGTGGAGTATATTATCTCTCCAAGTCAATTCTACATCCGAATCTATAGCAGGGATTCATCAGAGTTACTTGAAGACATGATGATTGAAATGCGGTAGGAGTCCTTGTTTTCAGTGTGTTTTTTCATGTATCGCTCTAATTAGGAGTTATCATTTTTGGTCTCAGGACTCTTAAAATGAAAGACCCAAAGAGAGCTTTTGTTTATTGATATTTCCTATATAGAAATTAAATTGCAGAGTTAAAAAATGCTTCTTTTAAAAATTCATGGGTGATAATATAACATTTTTATAAAAATAACTTTTTAGAAAATGTTGGAAGAGTACCATTGTTTTACATTTTTACAGATCACTTTAATATTTGGCTTAATAGGGAAAAAAGCTGGATTTTAATATCTGCTTCTACATGTAATCTATTGAGATACAATAGCCCCAGATAACCTTATACAGGCAAAATGTTCCAAGATACTCAGTGGATACCTGAAACAGGATAATACCAAACCCTGTGTATATACTGTTTGTTTTCTTATATACACATAACTATAATAAAGTTTAATTTATAAATTAGGAATAGTAAGAGATTAACAACAATAAAAATAATAAAAACAATTATAACAAAATTCTGTAACAAAAGTTGATTGAACAACTGATGTAGCTATTAAGTAACTAATGGGAGGTAGTGTATACAGTAGGCATATGCTGCACAAAGCCATGATTCACAATCTGGCCAGATGGAGTAGGATGGTGCAAGATTTCATCATACTACTCAGAAAAGCATGCATTTTTAAACTTGTGATTTGCTTATTTCTGGAATTTTCCATTTAATAATTTTGTACTACAGTTTTCCATGGGTAACTAAGCGAAAACCACTGAAAATGGTAAATGTATAAAATGTGTGGTTTTGGTTAAAGTGTATGGAAACATCTGGCCTCACAAATATATAGTTTGGGAAAGGAGTATTTTAATAGCCTTTTCAGAAAATTGTGAATTATCATAATTCGTTAATGGTTTTTTCAAGCAAAAAAAGGTGGTTCTTTCCATGAAAAACAGTGACTAATTCAAGTGAAAAAAAAAATCATACTTCCCTCCCAATAAAAGATTAGGTCACAATTCAGAACACACAAGCTTTTCCTTGACATAACTGGGGAAATGCCTTATGTATACTTAGTTTCATGTTTGTCACTTAGTATTGAAAAGATGTCACTTAGTGACTGCTGTTTAATAAGCTTAATCTTTATCAGAGACGATATTAAATGTCATTAGCTGTTTTTTGTAATTAATGTGAACATATGGCAGTGACAATTAAGAGGCTATAAGTTTGCCACTGCCTCGATTTAGCTAAGGTGCCTGGCTTATGTACCCATTGTTGCTTTTACATGGTCAATGCAAATTTCAACATAAGTAAAGGGCAGATAAGGGTTCAGTAATATTATGAAAATAGTTTTGATCTTGTGTACCTCCTGGAAAGGCATTAGGGTATATACTTTGAGACCTACTGCGTTAAAAAATGTCCATTTTGGGAAGAGATGGGAAATGAGATCGCATTGTATTGTGTTCTGAGAATGTGAGATAAGAAAATGAATGTATAATTTTCATACTCTATCTTTGAATAAGTTTGTTAATAAAGAGAATGACTTTGGACAAGAAAAAAGAATAAAATTCTTTGGCCTTAGTAAGCATTAACAAATCAGAAAAAAAAATCAGGATTTTTTTTCTTTGCCTTTTGCCCAGGCTTTTCTATTCTTGACCTATCAATAAAAACAATCTTTAATTTTTCTTCCCCTATGGTTTCTCTGTATATGGAATTCCACAGGCGTTGTTATTCTAACCAGCTGGTTTCTGATCGATATATCATGCCAGAATGTTTTGTCCAGCCGGGACACCTGTGTTGTGTAAGGATTTCTGAGGATAAGTGGTGGTATCGGGTTATTATCCATCGAGTCCTTGGGAAAAAGGAAGTTGAAGTATTCTACCCAGACTTTGGAAATATCGGAACTGTTCAGAAGTCCTCTCTGAGGTTCCTCAAGTGAGTTGAATTTAATAAGAACAATTTAATAAGAACAATGTTCATATATTGATTTTTGCTGCAGGTGCTGCTAAATTTTGAATCCCAGTGCTGAAACTTGGTGAGGCTGTGATCTCTCTTATTTTTCTTTTAGCTTTATCGCTCCATCCTTCCACCCTTTCCATGCCTCTTTCTTCTTAGTGTCATTTAATTTCACTGGTGGATTATAATCTCATGTCTTCTTTGACTTGACTATGAATTTGAATGGCCCATTTGACTAAATTTTAGCCTCTTATTAAGAAAGTGACTCCTTGGGAATGGCAAGTTGAAGACCAGCCTGGGCAACTTAGCAAGACTCTGTCTCAAAAAAATAGGAAGGACTGGGAATGTAGAGTGCCCCTGGGTTCAACCATCAGTTTCCAAAAAACTAAAAACCAAAACTAAAAGAAAACTACTCTTTGGGTCATACTAAGAGGTGCGTTCATATATTCAGGAAGCTTGAACCTGAATTTCTACTATATGGTTCTCTCAAAGATGTATTTTATACTTTTTCTTAGGTTTCTTTAAAGTACAAGGCATTTATTATTAAATTGATGAATAAAATACTCTGGAATGTTGTGCATAACAAATCAAGGAGCAGAGATTTTATAAAAATGCACTTTAAACATATGATTAAATGTTCATATATTGATTTTTGCTGCAGGTGCTGCTACACAAAGCTTCCTGCTCAGGCTATCCCTTGCTCTTTGGCTTGGGTGAGACCCGTAGAGGTATGTACTCTGGTTTTCCAGTAATTAGAAAACATTTTTTTTTTCCAAGACTGTTTCTGAGTTCTCAGGATACAAAAACAAAACATGAAACCAGGCCCCTCTGCTCCCAAAAAATCAGGTATGTTGTATGGAATGGAAATATGTGGACAGACATTGTTGTACCCTGCTGTATTTGCTATAATAGAGATTCTTACAGCATGACAAAGGAGCAAAAGGAAGCAGCCCCATCTCTCCAGGGTAATCAGGAAGCTTCATAGTAAAGGTGGCATCTGAATGGAACTTTAAAAGAAGATTAGGGAGAGTAGTGTGAACATTTCAAATTTAAGAAATTAGTTCTATTGGCACAGAATGTAGAATGAGCTGGAAGGTACATGACAAATGATGTCAGAAATAGGCACAGACTTCACATGGAGAGCTGTGTTCAGAGGTCAAAAAGCTGCTGTCCCTTAGATGCTGGGGAACTGCCATAGTCAGGTGTCATTTTTAAGAGAATTCTCCCATACATTGTGAAAGATGATTGGAGGGCCTGCAGAAAGCATTTACATTCACATAGGCAGGTATGGTGTGTGCAGTTATAATTATCTCTGGCCTTTACCTTTTCTCCTCTGAACCTACACGTACCTATGTGTGTTCCTCACGCCATAGTTGTCTGTTTAACCTAAATAATTTATCAGTTGCTTACATATAAATGACTATTTTAAAATATCTTTTAGTTGAAAAATACAGCAAAGAGAACCAAAAAAAAAATCATATAATTCAGGGCTGGGGTTGTGGCTCAGCAGTAGAGCACTCGCCTAGCATGTGCGAGGCCCTGGATTCGATCCTGAGCCCCACTTAACAATAAATAAATAAAGGTATTGACAACTGCAACTAAAAAATTTAAATATTAAAAAAAATCATAATTCAACCACTGAGACACACTCACTTAGAAATTGTTGTATTTCCTCCAGTTTATTTTATTGGATGTAGAAAGTCCAGGTTTTTGAAAGGTTTTTAGTGTTACCTAAGATAATCATAATATGTTGTATATTATGCTTTTTCACTTAGCATTTAACATAAATATACATTTAGTTCTCAATTCTAATGGATTCATAGTAATCTATTAGCTAAATATGCATTGTGGCCTAACCATTCCTTTATTGTTGGACATTTAATCTTCTACATTTCCACTATTATAAATAATGTACACAAAGTGTTTTTGTTTTATTTATTTGCAGTACTGGATTGAACGCAGGCCCTTGTGCATTCTAGGCAAGCACTAAACCACTAATCTCCACCGCCAGCACCCCTAACTCTTTTTTGTTAGATAGTCTCACAAAGTTGCCCAGACCAACCTCCCAAGTAACTGGGATTATAGACGTGCACCACTACACTCAGATTTCACAAAAACCATACGTTGTACTATCATCAGGATTGGGTTTTAGTCTGTAGTCTTGAATGGGTCTCTTTTTACTACTTTGGCCATCAGGAAGCTGGATGCTAAATTTGCAACCCATTTATAACCAATGTCTTTTACATCAGCCAAATAGCTTCTCTGTTTTGTTTTCTTTTTTCCCTCTTCATTGCCTTCTTATTTGCCTCCTATACCTCTCCTCCTCAGGGCTTTTGCTCATTCCAATCACAGGAATAGCTTATTCCAAGAAGTTTCATGGTTGCCCTTCCTGTTATTTCCTCAAAAGGGTTTTCTTTTCCTCACAGCCAGTTTAAAGTATGCTCTTCCCCTTGAGTCATTCATCATCACCATGTTTTGTCTTTATTATAGTTGTCACTGTCTGCTGTTTTCTTGTGTGTCCATCTGAACCCAACAGTATAAGTGTCCTGTTCACCATTGAATCTTCAGTGCCTATAGCAATGTTTGGTTAATGTTAAGAGCTCAGTAATCATGTTTTTAACTAAATGAATCTATCTCACTTTATTTCTATGTCTATTTTCTAATTTTGAAAATGATTAATTCTCTTGGTAATGGAAGAAGAGCAACAAAGGAATGTGATGAGACTATGTTCCCACAGACAAAATCAAAAGTAGGCAGGAAAGCAGAAGTCTCCTTGGAAATCAAACTGTAGCGGGTAAGGTTGGGACCTTTCCAGCTGCCTTCTCGAGGTCAGTCCTCACTCTTCAGCCTTGCTGGCTTGAAGAAATAGAGGAGATTGTTTGAGAGTGACAGAACAGCTAGAAGTTAGGGGGCAAATACTTAACACAGAGAATGGATATACAGTTGTATTCACAGCGTATATAATCTTCCCAAATCCTTAGATGATTGCTGAACTTTGCAAGCACTAGGAACAACCTAGTTGCCCTAGAGGAAAATTAACAGCTGGCATTTGAAGGAACTGAACAGAGATTTCAGTTGCTACAGACTGCAAGAGCAAGGGGTGTACAAAATTTAGAGTTTAAGTCCAACTTGTCACTTAACAATGGAGACACATTTTGAGAAATGGATTGTTAGGTGATTTCATTATTTTATGAACATCATAGCATGTACTTACACAAACCTAGATAGTATAACCTACTACCCTACCTGGGCAGTGTGGGTTTTTTTTTTTTTTGGTACTGGGGATTGAACTTGGGGGCACCGACCACTGATCAACATCCCCAGCCCTATTTTGTGTTTTGTTTAGAGACAGGGTCTCACTGAATTTTGCTTAGTGCCTTGCTATTTTTCCCCCGCCTGAGGCAGGCTTTGAACTCGAAATCCTCCTGCCTTAGCCTCCCAAGACTCTGAGATTACAGGTGTGCACCACCTGCCTGGTGATTGTATTTTTAAACACATTTAAATGTTTATTCCTTAAACATTTTTTTTTATTTTAAGATTAAAATATAGCCATTATGGTTTGGATTTGAGGTGTTCTCCCAAATCTCCCGTTAATGCAAGAACATTCAGAGGTGAAATGATCAGATTGTGAGAGCAATAATTCATCAGTCCATCCTAGTTTGATTGGACTGACTGGGTGGTAACTGTGGGCAAGTTGGTTGTGGCTAGAGGAGGTGGGTGACTTCATCTTCTCTATGCTGGTGCTTCCTGACCCTGAGCTGAGCAGCTTTCCTTCACTTGCCCCCTCCTGCGTAATGTCCTGCCTCACCTTAGGCCCAGAGTTGTGGAGCTGGCTATCTGAGAGCTCCAGATAAATTTTTCCTCCTGTAAATTTTTTTTAAGTTTCTTTCTTCCTTTCTTCCTTTCCTTTTCCTTGTCCTTGTCCAAGAAGACCACGTGCTAGGCAAGTGGTCTACCACCAAGCCACAACACCAGCCCCTGTAAATTGTTCTTGTTGGGTATTTTGTCACAACAACCCAAAAGGTAACCAAAACAATAACCCATTTTGACTTATTTTTATCTTTTATTTTTTTAAAAACTTATTAAAAACTAGGACACAAACAAGGCCTAGGCCTATGAAGGATCAGGATCAAAATATCAGTCTTCCAACTTTGCATCTTGTCCCACTGGAAGGTCCGAAGGGGCAATAACACAGAGCCGTTGTCTATGACAGCAGTTCCTTCTTCTGGCATTCTCCCTGAAGGACCTGCCTAAGGCTGTTTTACAGTTAAAATTTTTTTTTCAGGTAGGGATATACTTTAATAAACCAGTAACGTAGTTGTTTATCATTATCATCAAGTATTATTTACTGGCTGAACAGTAGGTCTGCTTCCACCAGAAGCACCACAAACCTGGGCAGGATGTGACAATGTTATGACAGCTACCACATCACTATGCAATTTGAATTTTTCAGTTCCTTTGTAATCTTATGGGAATATTGTCACATACATGAACTTTTATTAACCAAAATATTGTTAAGTGGTGCATAACACTGGGAGGAGTCAGGGCATAGGTCAGTGGTGAAGCACTTGTGTGACCCTGAATTTCCATGCCCAGCTCAGCAAAACAACAACAACAACAACAACAAACTAGGATATTTTGTCACCAGTATTCTTTTTTTTAAATATTTATTTTTTAGAAGTCATTGGACATGGGGCTGGGGATGTGGCTCAAGCAGTAATGCACTCGCCTGGCATGTGCGGGGTGTTGAGTTCGATCCTTAGCATCACATAAAAATAAAATGAAGATGTTGTGTCCACCGAAAACTGAAAAATAAATATTTAAAAATTCTCTCTTCTCTCTCTCTCTTTAAAAAAAAAAGTAGTTGGACACATACCTTTATTCATTTATTTATTTTTATGTGGTGCTGAGGATCAAACCCAGAGCCTCGCATGTGCTAGACGAGCTCTCTACCGCTGAGCCACAATCCCAGCCCACCAGTATTCTTGAACTGCAAGAAATACTAAAGGAAGTCCTTCTGGCTCTTAATGGAAATGAAAGCAAATAGTAACTGAGATCTATAGGAAGGAATAAAGATTATGGAAAATAGTTAATATGTGGTGAAATATAAAGCTGTTTTATTCTCTGAATTTCTTTGGAAAACATAGAACTTTTAAAAGTAAAATCATTGCATTTCATTTTGGAGTAGAATGTGTTAATATATATTTATTCCAAAAGTCTTCATGCAGTTTAAGCTTTATTATTTTTAGAAACATAAATGTCACAAACTTTAAAAATATCATTTGAAACTTTAATTTTTAACATATACTTGTTTGTATGTTATTTTGTGAAATTTTAACTAGTAGATTTGCAGTGTTAATATTTTGTTTCATTCAACTTTTGCCCACTCTAAGGGACTGGCACAAAAAAAATTAAAATGCAGTATTTGTAGTAGAGGTTTTTTTTTCTGTTCCTCCTCAATATGATTTTGGTGTCAGATTTTTAGGGAATGTGTTCTTTTTACTTAGTTTCATTTTATTGGCATAATTATTCATAATATCTTCCTGTCCTTTTTCGGGGGGCGGGAGTTGCTGGGGATTTAATTCCAGGCTTTCTGCATGTTAAGCAGGTGCACTACCACTAAGCCATGTCCCCAGCTCTCCTTTTTCTAACTTTTTGAGACAGAGTCTTGCTAAGTTGCCTAAGCTGGCCTTAAACTTGTGATGCTCTGGCCTCAGCCACCCGAGTAGCTGAGACTTACAGGCATGCACCATCTATGGTCCTTTTGTGGCTTAGTCCATGCAGAGATGAAGGTCAGGAGCAGTGCAGGGGTGTACTCCTAGGTTTATATCTGGGACAGCAGGCATGCATGTGTGGCCTGCCTTCTTTTCTTTTTGATGCCAGCAACTGTAATAGTATGTCCATTTACATTCCAGTTATTGTTCGTTAGTATATTCTCTTCTTTTTTTGTGATCTAAAGAGAAAGGTATTTGCCATTTTGGTTAGTTTTTTCAATGAGCCAGTTAACCTGGGAGTGTGTCATAGTGGTAGTTGATTCTGGCAGGAGACATCAGTGGAGACCAAAGTTTGATAAAGAACAAATTGCCAATCTATTTGAAAGTGGGAAATGGTGACTTTATTTTTTAAAAATTATTTTTTAATTAATGACTTAATTTTTTATTTTTTAATTTGTTATACACAAGAATTCATTTTGATACATATAATGGAATATAATTTTTCCTGGTTGTACATGATGTAGAATCATACCAGTCTATAGTTATATATTTACGTAGGGTGATAATGTCTGATATATTCTACTACCCTTCCTACCCCGACACCCTCTCCCCTCCCTTCACAGCGATTTTATTTTTTTGTTACTAGGAATTGAACCCAGGGGCACTTTACCATCAGGCTACATCCCCAGCCCTTTTTTATTCTGAGTCAGTCTTACTAAGTTGCTTAGAACCTTACTAAGTTGCTGAGGCTGGCCTCAAACTTGCAATCCTCCTGCCTCGGCTTCCTGAGCCATTTGGGATTACAGGCATAGGCCACTGTGCCTGGCTGTTTGTGTGAATTTATACTCACTTATCCTATATTGTTTTTGTAAAAATATTTTTTTAGTTATCAATGGACCTTTATTTTTTATTTATTGATGTGCAGGTGCTGAGAATCGAACTCAGTGCCTCACACTGGGTGTGAGCTCTGCCACTGAGCCACAACCCCAGCCCCTATATTGTTTTTTTACTGGACTTTTAAAAAAAAATCTTTGTTATTTTTCACTAAATATTGCAAATTTCCAGTCATTGTCTCTTCAATTATGATCATATTTTTATACCTCTTGTTTCTGCCTCTTTTTCTGAGGCCATAACTTTTTAAAAATATTTTTTATATGTATGGACCTTTATTTTATTCATTAATTTATATGTGGTGCAGAGGATCGATCCCAGTGCCTCACACATGCTAGGCAAGCCTGAGCCACAGCCTCGGCCCACTGAGGCCATAATTAAAAGTGTCAAACTTCCTCAGTTTTTCTTCCACTTCTTAATGGCCTTCTGTATTTTATGCCCATCTTTCTTCCCACACTGGGTAAATTTTTTTTCCATAAATTATCTTCAACTTTGCTAATTTACTCTTAATCGTATGTAATCTGCCACTGAATTAACCTGTGAAGATTTTAGAATTTGTTATTATATTTTTACTTTCTAAAGCTTGTTATGCTATATTTGTCTTTATAGATTGCTGATCTCTGCAGAATCTTTCAGACTAAGCAGGGTTGTTGTTTTTTTTGGAAGGGGGACTTTGCTTTAAGCATAGTAAGCTTAGTTTTATAATTTGTCTAGAAATTGTCCAAGATTTTAAGGGTTTGTTGCAGTTATATGGTTTCTACTTGTTCTTCTGATTCATTGTTTTTATGCATTTTATCTTTGCCTGTGTGCTGCTCATTGTCTTTGAAAAATTTTAAGAATAGTTAAATGATGCAAGCTGAGTGCACCTATCTCTGGAGAGGGTTTATGTTTGCTTCTGCCTGCTCCTTAGGAGTTCCAGCACTTCAGAACTATGTTAATTTAAATTAACAACTTGAGGATTTATGGACCACTCTAGTGATGTGAAAATTGAGGTGCAAACCCATGTGAAGACTGGTTTCTTTCTCTCCCTGCTTACCCAAGACCATATCTTGCAGGACTCAATGAAGGAAAACTTTTCTAGAGACAACCTACTGTAGTGGACCCCAGTTTTGCTATATGTCCCCTTTGCAGTGTTCAAATTTGCCTGGATTAGGAGGTACCCTTAAGACAAAAGTTGTTCCCACTTTCTCTTCAGTTTTTTTTTATATATTTTTTTAGTTGTAGATGGACACAGATACCTTTATATATTTATTTTTATGTGGTATTGAGGATCGAAGCCAGTGCCTCACATGTGCTAGGTGAGCACTCTACCACTGAGCCACAACCCTAGCCCTTCCCTTCAGTTTTGGCCTGATAATTTGTTACTAGCTTGCTAGTACTTTGATGTTCTGGGCATGTTAAAAATGATATTTTACCTAGACTTTTTAGGTTTTTTTTCCCTATGGGAGGGTTGGTCTAATAATATATTTCTGAAATTGGTGGGTTCCTCACCAAATAATTACTTTTTCACCATTTTTTATTTTGACTTTTCTCATCCTCAAATCATAAATATCTTATGTATCATTCTTTTATGCTTTGATTTTTCCACTTAAAACTACTGTACTGTACATTATCATAAATGGTACTATAATTCATGTTGAACTCTATCACCTAAATCTAGTGTCTTTATTGTATTACAGGAACACTGGACATCCAGAGCTATTTTGCAGTTCCAGAAGTTGTGTGGTCTGAAACCGTTAGTAGGAGTAGTGGATGAATATATCGATGGAATCCTTAACATTTTTCTGTGTGATACATCCTCACATGAAGATGTCTATTTCCATCATGTCTTAAGAGCAGAGGGCCATGCTATTGTATGCCGAGAAAATGTCCCTTCCAAGGTAGAGCAGTGTGGATGCATTTTGCAACATATATTGCTTGCTCTCAACACTTAAATTTAATACAGAAGGTTGTTTGATTTATTCTTTAATTTTAGAGACATTCATTACATTGCTGACTTCTTAATGCAGAACACTCTTAATTTTTAGATGACCATAAAAACCACATTTGGCTAATTAACCTTTAGAATATGAATACTTTTGCCAGGGTAGGTGGCACACGTGCCAGTGGCTGGGGAGGAGGCAGAAGAATCTCAAGTTCAAAGCCAGCCCCAGCAACTTAGCAAGACCCTGTCTCAAAATAAAAAATAACAAGGACTGGGGATGTGGCTAAGTGGTTAGGTGCCCCTGGGCTCAATGCCCAGTACAAAAAAAAAAAAAAAAAAAAGATTGACTATTCTCCCTTACTCCAAAGTATTTCAAAGTGTATAGTTATCTTAGGTCATCCTAGAGAAAAGCAACACTTTTATTTTACATTATTGATAGTGATTTGTTGATAGTGAAAGCTGTATCCCTGCTAATATTGATGCTAATTTTTGTAACTATGTAAAACTGTCAATATGGAGCAAGCTTTTAACGAAGAAGATAATGTACCTCCACAGCACTTGAGAATTATGAAGTACTAACTTTCGTCCTTTCTTTTTTAATTGGATAGTTAAACCCTTCCTCATTTAAAATAAATTATCTATTTATTTTTATCCAGGGCTTCAGAGACCTAAATCCTTTAGCTTTATACACTCAACCCAGTGGAGGGCCAGATAAAGTTGTCTTGACAGAACTGGGTTATTCTTCTCAGCAGCACTATTTTAATGAAGACCGAGAGATAAGTCCTCGATCCAAAGAGAGCGATTTCCATGCCCTGGTAAGTTATATTATAATAAGAGTTAAATTAAATTATTAACTATTATAATATTTACAAATATTATAATAATTCCTTTAATTAACTCTAGTTATCCTCGTTTTACAGATGAGGGAACTGAGGTTTTCCAAACTTAGATGCACAGTGATCTTACAACTAACCTGTTCCTCATTGTTAGGCAGCTTAAACCTTTGCAGTATTTGTGCTTCCTCTGGTGATTTCTCCTATTTACTAATTTCCTCTGTGTAGTTGTGCCTTCCCTTCTCTAACTCAAATGCTGTCCTTCTTACTCACTGCTCGGGTTCTTCTTCACAGATTCTGATTTTTTTTCTCTTTAAATGTTTGCCAACCCTCTCTCCATCCACAGTTACAACAGTATTATTATAACATCCTTTTATTATGCATTATTCTAGCCACAGAGCAACAATAATTATTGAACTTGTGCTACCTCACAGGCACTGTTCTGAGTGCTCACATGTATAGAGAATTTAACCTGCATAATAACATTCCCATTCTAAATAAAAGGAAAGTGAAGCTCATGCTAAGAACTTAATATTTCTTGAACAGATAAACAGGTCCTCTTGAGTCTGATAGTCCAGTACCTGTTGACATGAGGAATAAGAGTATAAGAAGTGTTTAATCTGAAGGCTGGAAATATTTTGTTGTTGATATAAGGCTTTTTATTTTTGTTGAATAAAATAAAATGTAAAATATTCTTTTTTGAGTTTTAAAAAATGTAGATTTTATTTCTTAGAGCTAAAATGTAAACTATTCTTTTGTTGTATATTATTGTATATCTGACTTTTAAAGTTATAGAGATGATTTTTTTAGTAGATATTTACAAATTATTAGAAAAGATTAAAAAAAGCCATTTTGACTACTGGGAGATACTCTGTTACAAAAATAAAGTGTATTAATGTTCAAAACTAAGAAATTTTAGATCTCTAGTTAAATATTAAAATTAATTGGGCTGGTGGCTGGGGTTGTGGCTTAGTGGTAGAATGCTTGCCTAGCATGCAAAGTATCCCTGGCACCACATAAAAATAAAAACAAATAAAATAGAAGTATTATGTCCATCCACAACTAAAAAAAAATTTTTTTAATTAATTTGAGTTGGTTTGGTTCATAACAAACCTGAATTCTTCTCATTCTAAATGGGTTCAAAAGAGTTACATTTCCTCATTTTATAATGAATTGAACTCAACCTTTAATATTTTTAGAATATTTTATCAGCTGTTGATGTCTTCAGATAATCATTGTTCAGTTCTAGAAATATAGGAAGACTCTCTTTTCTGTACAAAAGGACAAAACTCTCCCAGCCCACCCCACCCCAGGTCATATTTTGATATAGCAAGACTGCCATATGCTACAGACACACGTGCCTCCCCCCGTTCTTTCCTGCTCATCTTTTAAGCATCCTAACAGTTTGTTATCTCCTTTATTGCATCTTCCCAGACATCCTCCCTCAGTAATATTTTCAGTACCTCTCTGTGATGGCGCTACTTGAGAGATTGCACTGTCATGACCTGGTTGTGTGTTTTCCTACTGTATTTTTTACTTTAAAGCTGGGACCTGCGGTATCCTTCAGAAAGGTATCCATAGACATTTGGTCAAATATGCTCAAAAATGGTTTTTGCCTAAAAATCGTTTTCCAGAATGGGAGGGTCTAGGGTCAGGGATAAAGTTAGAAAATAAAGTAGCATTTGAATGAACCATAGCAAAAAATACCACCAAAATTTTATAGGCATGTAGATTTTGTAAACAACATTAACATAGAAAACAAAGTAATTTCTTTCATATCTACTAAAAAGATATTAATGATGAAAAGTATTTAAGTCATCTTAAATCTATGTCAAAGGAGCCATTAAAGGATTCTGAATTCAGTTCTCTGAAAACTCAAAAGAGCTGTGAAGAAGATCTAAAGTGGTCCATTCCAGAGCCAAAGGATCTGAAGGAAGAAAATGAGGTAGGAGAAGGAAAGGTAGTTTTTAAAAAATATGTAATTAATATAATTAATTCACAAATGAAGAGACTGAACTAAATTAGCTGTTTAAGCTCTGCTTTTATTGTCATAGATCATCTCTCACAGATGAATTATAAATTCTCTCTTTAGCAGTCTCCAAGATCAGTGTTTTGGGGACATAACCTTGATCATGGAAAAGAAAAGGCACCACCTGGCTTTGATGTGCTAGTTACTCTCCTGTGTGTTTATGCCATATTCAAGAATTGTGCAGTACCTAAACACTGGGATTGAGAACAATGCTAGGGAAAAGGGTTTATAACTTTTTTGAAGGGCATGTTTTATCTTTATTTTAGTCAAATGTTTACGTACACATAGCCTAGAGTCCCTCATGACCATTTCTCCTCTGTGGCCTATATCCTAAAACAACCATTTTCATCTATTTTAGCTACTTATTTTGGAGTTTTACCTCTATTCCTTTAATACATACATATAATTTTCTGCTTTCTCAGTTTTATGTATCTGTGTTCTACTCAGTAGAAGGATGAGGGCTTAGTTCTCTTTCATCATCCCTTCACCCTACCACACATAAACATAACCGTTGTGTCCCCTCTCCACCATCCATCATACTAACTGAGTAGTATCAAACTTTCCATTAGGTCACCACTCACATTTGCATTCTTATGGCTGTAAATGCTGTTCATGGCTCAGGCACATTGTATGCTATGACACCTTTTCCTTTCCTGCATAACTTTACTTTGTCTTATCATCTTTCTTTTTAAACTAATATATGGCAAAATTGACTTTCTTTTGGTATAATTTTCTGTCAGTTTTAATATACAAGTAGTTTCATGTAACCAACATCACAATCAGCATGCAGAGTGACTCCATCAATCTGAAGTAACTCCCTTGTGCTACCCTTTTTTAATCAATCTCCTCCATATTCCTGACCCCAAGCAACTACTGATATGTTTTGTCTCTCTAGTGACAGCAGAATGCATTACAAATCATATTACACACATAGAGCATAATTTTTCATACCTCTGTATACAAAGTATATTCACACCAATTTGTGTCTTCATACATGTACTTTGGATAATGATGACTATCACATTCCACCATCATTTCTAACACCATGCACCCTCCCTTCCCCTCCCATCCCTAGAGTTTGTCTATTCTTCCCATGCTCCCCCTCCATACCCCACTATGAATCAGCCTCCTTATATCAGAGAAAATATTTGGCATTTGGTTTTTTGGGATTGGCTAGCTTCACTTAGCATTATGTCCTCCAGCTCTATCCATTTACCTGCAAATACCATGATTTCATTCTCTTATATTGCTGAGTAATATTCCATTGTGTATAAATGCCACATTTTTTTATCCATTCATCTTCTGAAGGGCATCTAGGTTGGTTCCACAATTTAGCTATTGTAGAAAATGATATAAAATCAATCAAAAAATGTATGAAAAATGTTCATCATCTCTAGCAATTAGAGAAATGCAAATCAAAACTACTCTAAGATTTCATCTCACTCTAGTTAGAATGGCAGCTATTATGAATACAAACAATAAGTGTTGGCAAGGATGTGGGGAAAAAGGTACATCATACACTGCTGGTGGGACTGCAACTTGGTGCAGCCAATATGGAAAACAGTATGGAGATTCCTTGTAAAATTGGTAATGGAACCACCATTTGACCCAGTCGGTCTATACCCAGAGGACTTAAAAACAGCATACTACAGGGACACAGCCACATCAGTGTTTATAGTTTTACCTTTTTAGAACCATCATATAAGTGGAATCACACAGTGTTGTAATCTTTAGGACTGGTATCATTCATTCTTCTAAAGTGTTGCATTTAGCAATTTCAAATCAAAGCTTTTGACTACTTAGTTTGGATTTATTGTAAGGATGTATCATGCTTGTATAGCTTTTCATCCACTGAAGAACATTTGGGTTGTTTCCAGTTTGGGATAATTATGCATAGAACTGCTACAAGTATTTGTGTACAGATTTTTGTGTGAACACAAGCTTCCTTTAAGGAAAATGCCTGGGAGTAAAATTGCTGGGTCACATGATTATCAAATTGTTCCCTAGAAAGGTTGTATAATTTTGCATTCCCACTAGCAATCTGTTCTAGTTGCTCCACACCCTTGCTAGCACTGTGTATTACCAGTAATTTTAATTTTAGCATTCTGATAGGTGTTAGTACTAGTACAACATGGTATATTTTGCATTTCCTAATAACTAATATTGTTTAACATATTTTCTGTACTTAATTGCCATACATACGTAATTTTTGTAGAAATGTCTGTTCAGGTCTTTTGCCCATACTTTTATTGGGTCATTGGGTTTTTTTTTTAATGTTTTTGAGAATTTTTAATATATTCTGGATGCTACTCCTATGTCAGATATGTGATTTCAAATATATTCTTCCACTTGTAGCTCATATTTTCATCCTTTTAATAATGTCTTTCATGTAGCAAAAGTTTTTAATTTTGAGAAGGTTAAGATATCAAATTTTTTTCTGTGTACAGTGCTTCCAATATTGAGAAATCTAAATTAATTTGGGGGGGGCGTATGGTGTTAAGACAGGATTTATTTTGTTGTATATGTGGATGTTCAGTTGTTCAAATATCATTTGTTGAGAAGACTATCCTATCTAAATTGAATTTCCTATAAAGCATTACCAAAATTCAGTTGTCCATATTTGTAGTTTTTTTTTTTTTTTTGGGGTGTGTGTGTGTGTGTGTGTGTGTGTGTGTGCGTGCGTGTATGCGTGTGAGTTGTGTATGGTGCTGGGGATTGAACCCAGGGCCTTTCACATGGTAGGCCAGTGCTCTATCACTGGTCTACTTCCCCAGCCTAGTCATCCATACTTATATGAGTTTATTTCTAGACTGGATTCTGTTCCATTGTTCTGTTATATCCATCCCTTTATTGTACCAGACTTTGAATACTGGCTTTAGAGTAGTCAGGTAGTATAACTTCTCCTATTTTATCATTTTTCAAAATTGTTTTTTAATACTCTAGTTCTTTTTTCCTTCCTTATAAATTTTAGAATCAGTATATCTATATTTGGGATTTTGGTTGGAATTGTGTTAATTTGTGGATAAATTTGAGGAAAGTTGATATCTTTATTCTCTGAAGACAGAAGCTACCTGCCTATTAATTTAGGTTTTTCGTTTATATCTTTATCATGTAGCTATAATTTTCAGTATTCAGAAACTACATGTGTTTTGTTAGCTTTATACCTAAATATTTCATTTATTTGGAGCTATTTAAGATAGTTTCATTGCTAGCATATATAATTTTTTTTAAATTTTGAACTTATACCTTGTGAACTAGCTGAACTCACTTATTAGTTCTAGGAGTCCCTTTGGGATTTTCACATAGGTAGTGGTGTCTGCAAATTAGTAGTTTTATTTCCTTCTATCTGTATGGATTTAATCTACCTGCCTTGCTCTGGCTAGTATTTCAGATACTGTTGAACAGGAGTATGAGAGAGAATATCCTTGTACTCCTGAAAAGTTTTACCCATGCATGAATGTTGAATTTTTGGTGGGGAGTTGGGGTACTGAGGATTGAACTCGGGAACACTCAAGCACTGAGCCACATCCCCAACCCTATTTTTGTATTTTATTTAGAGACAGGGTCTCACTGAGTTGCTAAGTGCCTCACTTTTGCTGAGGCTGACTTTGAATTCAAAATTTTACTGTCTCAGCCTCCCGAGCCGTGGGATTACAGGTGTGCGCCCCTACACCCAGTTGAATGTTAAATTTTGAATTGTTAAATATTGAATTATGTTTTGCATATATTAATAGTCTACTCCATTAGATATTGGATAATGAACCCTATTTGGCCATGGTGAATTATTCTTTTATATATTGCTGGATGCGATTTGCTGATCCTTTATTGAAGATTTTTATGTCTGTCTGCATGAAAGCTATTGATCTGTATTTTCTGGAAAAGATATCAAATCTATTTCATTTCCTTGTTTTATGGAGTTTAAATATTATTTATGGTATACAAAGTAAAGTTTTAATATACAGTTTTTATGTATAGATTGTGGAATGGCTAAATGAAGCTATTTAATGTATTTCTTACATACTTTCTTTTTTTGTAGTGAGAACAATTTAAGTCTACTTTCTTAGCAATTTTCAAGTGTACAGTTTGTTGTTGTTAACTGCAGTCACCAAGATGAACAATAGATCTCTTGACTTATTTGTCCTGTCTAACTGAAATTTGTGTCCTTTGACCGGTATCTCCCCAGTTCCCCTCTCAGCCTCTAGTAAATCATCATCTTACTATTCTGTGAATTCACTTTTTTTTAAATTCCACCCATAAGTGGGAGTATGTTTTCATCTGTGCTTGGCTTTTTTCAGTTAACATGATGTCCTTCAAGTTGTCCATTTTGTCACAATGATGGGATTTCCTCCTTTTTATAAGGCTGAATAGTATTCCATTGTGTATATATACCACATTTTCTTTAGACCTTCGTCTGTTGATGGATGCTTAAATTGATTTTATATTTTGGTTGTTTGTGAGTAAAGATGCAGTAACATGGGAGTACGGATGTCTTTTTAAGATATTGGTTTCATTTCCTTTGGATTTATACCCATTAGTTAGGCTGCTGAATCAAATGGTAGTTTTGTTTTTAATTTTTTGGGGAACCTCCACATTGTTTTACATAATGGCTATACTAATTTATGTTCTCATCAGCAGGATACAGGGGCTTCCTTTTTTCCACATCCTCACCAATACTTACTTTTTATCTTTTTAGTAAGTTATTCTAACTTGTACTGAGATAATTTCTTTGTAGTTTAAATTTGCATTTCTCTGATTATTGGTGAGCATTTTTCCATATGCCTGTTGGACTTTCATATATCTTCTTTTGAGAAAGGGAGAAATCTGTTTTCTTGGCAGAAATTTTTTGTTTGCTGTAATCTCCTTTGTCTGTTTTTGCTTTTATTGCCTTTATTTTTGGGGTCATACTTTAAAAAAAAAAAATGATTGCCAAGACCAGTGTCTTGGGGCTTTCCCCCTTTGTTTTCTTCTAGTACTTTTACATCTTACATTTAAGTCTTTAATTCACTTTGAATTGATATTTGTATGTGATGTGAGATAAGGGCTTAAGTTCATTCTTCTCTGTGTATAGAATCCAGTTTCCTCAATACCATCTATTGAGACACTGTTCTTTCCCCCATTGTGTGTCTGGGTATCTTTGTGGAAAATCAGTTGACTGTAATGCATGGATTTATTTCTGGAATTTCTACTCTACTTCATTTGTCAATTTGTCTGCTTTTATGTTAGTACCATGCTCCATGTATTATCTGTTCTAGGATCTGTGCCTTTACATAATTCCAGAGTAAGTTTTTGCCTGCAAAAATACCTTGCTGGGTTTTCCATAGATATTTCATTACAATATTTGATTAATTTTGAAGAAAATTAACATCTTTATTATGTTGAATCTTTTAACATGAATGTTGTGTATCTCTCCATTTATTTAGGTCTTTGATTTCTTATCTCTGCACATTGTAATTGTCAGTATATAGGTTCTGTATATGTTTTATTAATTGTATATATAATGTTATTTGGTATGATTATAAATGGGGTATTTTTAATTTCAGTTTCTGCATGTTCGTTGCTGGTATGTAGAAATGAAATTGATTTTTTTGTGCTGATCTTGTATAGTGCAACCTTGATCACTTAGGAGGGTTGTTTTTTTTTTTTTTGGTTTTTTTTTAGTAGATTATTTGGGGTTTTCTTAGTCATGTCATCTACAGATATGGGTTTTTTTTCTTTTCTGGTCTGCATGGCTTTTATTTCTGTTCCTTGCCTTTTGCACTAGATAGAGCTTCTAGCACTATGTTGAATAAAAATGGTGAGAGACAGACTTTCCTGGCTTCTTATCTTGGAGGAAAAATACCAAAGATGTTAGTTAGCTCTAAGTTTTGTATAAATATTCTGTGCAAATTGAGGAAAGTCTCCTCTATTCTTATTTTTCTGAAATTTTTTGGCATTTTAATTTATATGTTATGTTTTTTAATTATATCTGTGTAGGGTTTCCCCCCAGTGGTATATCTAGGAATTACAGTATAAACCCTGACTTCTTTTTACAGTGGACTTAATGGGTAATTTATCACTGAACAGTATGTCAGTATCTTACCATCATATAAATCATCTTCTTGCTACCTTTTTACTATCCTTATCTTATGTATTAAATTTACATTGAAATTTCATAACGTTATATTTCTTGGTTTCCACATTCAAATATATTCTTAAAAAATTAAAGAGGAGAAGAGTCTATTTCATTTCTGCTGTTCTTCCTTTTTCAGTGCTCCAGCTTTCCTTCTGATATCATCTCCTTTGCATCCAAAGGATTGGAATTCTTTTTAGTATAGGTCTACTGACAATAAATCTCTTAGTTTTCTTCACTGACCATATATTTATATCTTCATTTTAAAGAACATTAAAAATATGAGAGGTATTTTTGCCAAATATAGAGATCTTGTTTGCTACTGCTTTTTTCCAGTACTTTAAAAGCTGCTTTTTTAAAAAAACGTATTTTTATTGTTGAAATTTTTATTTTATTTATTTATTTGTATGTGGTGCTGAGGATCAAACCCCGTGCCTCACACAGCTAGGCAAGCCCTTCACCACTGAGCCCCACTTTAAGCTTCTTATTGCAGTTCCTTTTGGCCTTCATAGTTTCTGATACAAAATTCACAGCAATGATATAGCTCTGTCTCTACATGTAATATTTAATTTTTCTCTGGCTCCATTCAAGATAATCTCTGCCTTTAGTTTTCAGAAGGTTGATTATAATCTGTCCAGGCATGAATTTTCTTGGGTTTATGGTGTTTGGGGTTTGCTAAACTGGTAGGTTTGTGTCTTTGGAAGTTTTTAGCCACTTTTCTTCAAATTATTTTTTGACATTGTTCTCTTCTTTTTGGAAATTTAATTACACAAATATTAAATATTTTGACATTGTCTTTTAGTTTCTGAGGCTTTAAAAAGAATCTTTTGGGTTTTTTTTTTTTCCCCAATCTTTTTTTCCTCTGTTCAGATTTGGTAATGTTTATGGATCTGTCCTCAAGTTCACATGCCTTTTCCTTTTATCTCTATCCTGCTATATTGAAAAGAGGGCCAGCAATATTCAGTATAAAAACCTTCACCCAATTTCTCTTTCTTACTGTGCTTGTTTTGCTTTCAGTTTTACCCTCCAGAAGTCTTTCTTGGCCCTCTGGAAGACCAAGAGGTGTGGTTGCCTGAGTTCTTGAAACAGGGCAGGGCTCTGAATATCTCATAGCTGCTCACACTGACTTTTAACTGATGTTCTTGTTTTCATTGCCACATTTTACTCCTCTTTTTAAAAACCTTATAGTGCATTTCCTGAACTTTTAAAGTATTCTATAAATTTGGGTTGCTTCTCAGTTTTTCTCACTATAACCTCCGCAGTCTGCTTTATTGGGATTCCTTAATCAGTTGACAGTTGTGTGCTTTCCTATATCCAGAGTGTGGGTGGTTTTTTCTTTAGTCTCTTTGACCATGGAGTTTATACCTTAAGTCTCTTTGTTTTGTTTTGGTGGCATTTCAGGAACACAGGAAAAATAAATAGCAATAAATTGTGTATTTAAACTGCCATCCTTGCTTAGAGTCAGGAAACATTATAAAACTAAATTTTAAAATATGCTCATAGGAACTATAAAATATAGTTTTTCTTTGTCCTCTGATACATTCTAGGATGAGATCCCCACTGGAATGCCATGCCTGGAGTCAGTGACCATAGGTGATGATATCTGGGATGAGAACTGGCTACCACTGCAGGCTAAAATAGGAAAAGGAGGTGATGCTGCCTCCCATTTATTTACCTCAAGCCTTGGTGGAAAGAAACAGTGTCCTACATGTGAAGAAATGCCACAGAAGGTTAGACCCTTGGGATAACAGAAAGAAAATCACTACTGCAAAGAGGAAATTTAAATTTAGTTGTCCAGGCCTTGAAAAAGCTATATGTTCTGGAATTTAAATGAATTTGTCAGGTTCTAATTCATAATAGTACATGATTTTAAAAAAAGTGGTAGTAGTACATAAGTGGGCAGAGGATCCAGCAGAGGGAAGTCTTATTGTGATTATCTGCCCTTTCAAGTGTTATGATATCTGTTTTATCATTGGCCCACCCAGTCAATGCTTTGGAATCCATAAAAAAAACTGAAGAAACTGTTTTCTGAAATTTATTTTTGTTGCATTAGTCTTTTAATATAACCTTGGGTTTCTGCAGTCAGGACATTTGCTCATATTGTGCCTAACTATATATATTTGAAATATGTTTTCCCCTACTTATAAAAAAGAAGAAATACTTGTGAGAAAGAAGATGCAGTTAAGTTACTCCCTAGTATTTATGCTTTTTAAGTATTAGACGATCATGAAAAATCATGTAGCTATGGAAACAATGTTAAATACTACAAACAGGGTTGTTTTTATGTTTATGAGATTCAAGCGTTCAGAGAAGTTGAAGATGTTGGGTGCAGACCCAGAACAGAAGAAGGAGAGTCACAGTGATGTAGAAAGTTAATCTGTACCTTTCTTGTTCGATGCCTGTTTCTTCCTTGCCTCTACAATGCCCACATTATCCTCTTTGTTTGGTCATGTGTTACTATTCAGTTTATTGCGTTTTTCTTTATCTTCTAGGATTGGTGTTTTCCTACACCCAAAGATATATGGGATGATTCCTGGCAGCCTTCAGGCCTTGTGAATGGAATGAAAGTAGAAATTAAAAAACGAGAAGAGCTGGATACTCAAGAAAAAAATACTGGTACAACCAGAATTCTAAAGGTAAGTGTTCAAGGCAGGGGATGTAGCTTGGTGGTAGCACTTGTACCCAGCATATGTGAGGCCCTGGTTTCCGTCCCCATCCACCTCTGCAAAAGAAAACAAACAATAAAGAATAAAATATACTCTACAAATTAGCTTAGAACTGGAAGGAAAATGTATTCCATCATCAAATCCTCAGATAACATAAAAAAAGAATAAAAGAGAAATATCTAATGAATTTTACAGTAGCATTTGCATGGGTAAGTACTTTCATTCTCAGTAAAATAATGAGCAGTTGATACACTATAGAGGCATAAAATTTATACTGACTTTAGAATAAATTTTAATTAATATTCTCTCTTAAGAATAAAATCCTGAGCCTAAAATTAAAAGCCTGATTAAATCTGTATTAGGCAGAGAGAAAAATAGGCATATCCTATAACAGCCATATTTTAAGCTCTTTTGTAGTATAGACCAATTTCTTCTTTTGTGTTGCAATGTCAGAAAGCAGTAACTCTGGCACAAAATCCATGTTTCATGTTTCTCACATATATTATATGAGTGTCCTGAGAACAGCAGGCAATTTGTGTAAATCATGAAATTTGGTACTAGGTCTCTTATTAAAAATTAGAATTGGGGCTGGTGTTGTAGCTCAGTGGTAGAGCACTTGCCTGGCATGTGTGAGGCCCTGGGTTCAATCCTCAGCACCACATAAAAATAAAACAGAGGTATTTAAAAAAAATCAGATTTGGGGAAGATGAATCTTCTAAGTGATATATGTTGTACAGAATACAATCATTCTGTTTGACAGCAATGATAAAGCCATTCTATAGTGCATAAAACAGTCTGTTCCAGAAATTTAGGTTACTTAAGGGAATGGATTTAGTTTTAGCATAACATAGGCTTTTATATTTTGTGATATCACTTTTTTAAAAACATCAGCTTTTAGTCATGAAAGTCATTAGGAAAACTAAGAGGCCCAGAGTAGCCAAGGCAATCCTTAGCAAGAAAAATGAAGCAGGAGGCATCACAATACTAGACCTTAAATTATACTACAGAGCTATAGTAACAAAACCATCATATTGGCACAGACATGAAGACCAATGGAACAGAATAGAAGACACAGAGACAAACCCTTAAATACAGTTGTCTCGTACTAGACAAAGGTGCCAAAAGATAGCCTCTTCAACAAATGGTACTGGGGAAATCCATATATAGTAGAATGAAATTGAACCCCTATCTCTTACCCTGCACAAAACTCAATTCAAAGTGGATCAAGGACCTAGACCAGAGACTCTGTAAAGAAAATATAGGCCTAAATCTCCATCATATTGGCTTAGGAACAAAGTTCCTCAACAAGACTCCTAAAGCAAAAGAAGTAAAATCGGGAATCAATAAATGGGATGGTATCAAACTAAAAAGCTTCTTCACAGCCAAGGAAATAATCAAGAGCATGTAGAGAGAGCCTGCAGAATGGGAGATCTTTGCCATCTGCACCTCAGTTTGACCATTAATCTCCAAGATATACAAAGAATTGAGAAAACTTAACACCAAAAACCAAATAATCCAATCAGTAAATGGACAAACTGAACAGACACTTCATGGAAGAAGAAATATGAATGGTTAAAAATATATGAAAAGATGTTCAATATCTCTAGCAATTAGAGGAATGTAAATTAAAACTACACTGAGATTCCATTTCATTCCAGTCAGAATAGCAATTATCAAGAATGCAAGTAACACATTGGTGAGGATGTGGGAACAAGGTACACTCGTCCATTGCTGGTAGGACTGCAAATTGGTACAACCTCTATGGAAAGCAGTATGGAGGTTCCTCAGAAAACTTGAAATGAAACCACCATTTGACCCAGTTATTTCACTCCTTGGCACATACCCAAAGGACTTAAAATTAGCATACTACAGTGACATAGCTGCATCAATGTTTATAGCAACTCAGTTCACAATAGCTAGCTATGGAACCAATCTAGGTGCCCTTCAACAGACAAATGGATAAAGAAAATGTGGTACATAAACACATGGAATATTACTCAGCCATAAAGAAAAATGAAATTTCAGCATTTGCTGTTAAATGGATGGAACCAGAGACTATCACACTAAGTGAAACAAACCAATCCCAAAAACCAGAGGCTGGAAGGCTGGATGTTCTCTCTGATGTGTGGATGCTAACTTACAATAAGTGGTAGGGAGGGAGGAATGGAAGTTCACTGAATTAGACAAAGGAGAATGAAGAGAAAGGGCAGATGGGAATAGGAAAGACGGTAAATGGATCAGACATAACTTTTTTATATTCTTATGTAACTACACGACCAGTGAAACTTCACATCATCTACAATTACAAAAATGAAGTGTTATGTTCCATGTGTGCCGCAGTCCGGCTGGGCAAAATAACCGGGAGGTGATAAAAAACTTGAAGGTTGATGCAGGAACTGCTTTATTATGGAACAACAGCGGTATATATACATAACTGATTACACACAGCTTGATTAAATTATCATCATCCAGATACAGCAATCAGCCAATAAGGAATCCCCACCATCTTAATGGCTCGGTGGCGTTGCCTCACAAACCACTCCTCCTGACAAACTTCCAGGCGCCATCTTGACTTGATCGCAGCCCCCAACATCCCCCCCCTTTTGTTTTATTAACAAGTATGTGGTTTAAGGACCGTGCCTGTTTTAGGTTGTCTAATACTACATATGGTCCTTACCCATCATTGGATGGTCTGACCTCAAGTCGTCAGCCTCCTGGCTTAGGTTGGTACCATTGTAATTGGATCTTACCCGTCTTTGACTACCGGCCCAATATATTTAGCCATACTTGTGGATCTGTGTAATCTATACAAACACCATAAACAACCTGCCACAAGCAGGAGGAGGAGGATACAAAATGCCACAATACCAAGCCATTTACTGCTCCAAGTAAGAAGCCCTTGGAAAAATTGTACCACCAATGACACTGTCAGCAAAGATACCCTGGTACTATTACAATTATCAATAGATTAGTTCATAATGCATATAAGTGATACACAGTCCAGGTAAGTTCTGTAAGCAGCTTAAAGCAGAGGAATCCATTAATATGTCAATTCCTTCTTGAAGTATTGATGCAGCAGTTTGTACAGTTTGTGTGATAGCTATCACAGAAGCTGCAGCAGCAGTAGCAGAAACAGCAACAGCTGTGATGATGGTAGCTGTAATTCCGAAGTCTCATTTGGTTTTTCAGTAATACTGGAAATTCTTATCTTTTTGTTTTCACTGGCACTGGGATGAAAGTAGGAATTCTGGCAATGATGGCTAAAGAAAATTGTATAGCATTCCAGCAGGCACTAAGAAAACAATTTTCTGAACAATTTAGTACATTATCCTGAACAGAATTATTATATATAATGGAAAGGTGAAAGTAAACAAACAGATCTGTTAACCTCCTTTTTTGTTCACATTTTAAAACAATCCTTGTAAATTTCTGAATTTAGGTAGATTATTTCAACATTTTATTAGTTTTTTTTTAACACCTAGAAAAACTTGTAAGCTTAATTAAAATGTCTTTAAAAAGACATCTTTACTTTCATCTGTTTAAACTGTTTAAATCACGTGAATAAAAGATATTTGGATCCATTTTTTTTTTAATTTTCATGAGCGCTTATATGATTTGGACATACGCACATACAGACATATAACACATAACACAAGTGTGCACACATAACACAATAGTAAAGGCCTTGTAGCTTTTCACAGGCGAAATCTCCATTGCAATGTTTAAAAACTCCACAGTTGTTAAAAAATAGAACTGATCAGAAAAACATTAACCTAGGTCTGTATGAGCTCAAAAAATAAAATTGAAAAAAGCATCCTGGCTACCACCTGGGTTTGACTCTTCTTTTGATATCTCATCCTTCTTCTTGTAACTTGCATATGGGTCTGAAGGTATTCCCACAAGTAAGCCCCAAGGTTTTTTACATTTGAAATAGGCCTTAATGGTGCTCATTATTCATTAGCCTCCAGGTGTGGGAGAACCATTGTTGCAGATGTAAGGATAGCTAAACTGGAGTTCTGGATATCAGCTATTATGGATTTGAGCCAAATCATCTTTTTGGTCTATAGAAATCGCTTTAGTTAGTCTCTCTGGAATCCAAATCGGCTGCTGTTCTCCCTTGTCACTTACCCCCAAGCGTCCCGGAGTTCCCCCGTATGGGCTACCATTTGCCGCAGTCCGGCTGGGCAAAATAACCGGGAGGTGACAAGCAACTTGAAGGTTGAAGCGGGAACTGCTTTATTACGGAACAACAGCGGTATATATACCTGATTACACACAGCTTGATTCAATTATTCAGATACAGCAATCAGCCAATAAGGAATCCCCACCATCTTAATGGCTCGGTGGTGTTGCCTCACAAACCACTCCTCCTGGCAAACTGCCAGGTGCCATCTTGACTTGATCGCAGCCCCCAACACATGTGTGTATGATATGTCAAAATACAGTCTACTGTCATGTATAAACAAATAACAGCTTTATTGAAATATAATTAGGACACCACCATGATTCGCTAAGGTATAGGATTCAGTGTCTTAGTATACAGAGTTGTGCAACCTTCACTATATCTCTTTTAGAACATTTTCATCACCCCCCTAAAACCTCCATACACATTAGCAATTAAGCCCCTTCCTATCCTCCCAGAGCCTTAAATGACTACTGATCTGTTTTCTGTCAGTAGGTATTTGCTTGTCTAGGACATTTCCTATAGATGCCATACAACGTATGGTGTTTTGCGATTGTCTTTTATTTAGCATTGTCTTCAAGGTTCATCAGTGTTGTTGTATGAATAAGTATTTCATTTGTTTTGATAGTTGAATAATATTTCATCATATGACATAGTACATTTTATTTATCCACTCATCACTTGATGGGATTTGTGGCTGATTGCACATTTTTTTGTCATTATAAATAATGCAGCTAAGAATATTTAAGTACAAGTTTGTGTGTGGACATGGATTTTAGTTTTTCTT